ATTAGCTGTTTCGGCGACGTAGTTTGCCGATACAGCTCCTTTTAATTACGTGTGTTAATATTGATATTAAAGATAGATAAAGGGATTATTTGCTGCTGTGATTAGAAAGAATTGTTTGTGATTACATAATAATTGTACAGTGTGCAGTGACGATCAGTTGTGCGATTACATTTAGCTGACTGAGGGCGCTATTCAAGTTTAACGGTCAAGCCTACGCGCAGTTTGTTTTGGGAGTTGAACGTACGAAAAGTAGTTCGCGTATAATTGGCTGTTTTGGTAACGTCATTCGCCAAAACAGTTCCAGTTGCGTGTATTTCGTGTTGGGATTCAAATTAGCAACCGAGGCATTTCTTTTATTCTCATTTGTAACCGACTCTAATTATAGGCTCCCAACCAGGAAAAAAAACTAGAACCTCTAGATCCATATTTTGGTAATGTAACAAATGAAAAATATATATACATTAGATTCTGTAATCAGTCTATGTTACCCACAACTCTCCAAGGTGCAGAATCGTGCGTTTGAGACACCCACCAAATCAAAGCTTATTTCATAATCTTATATTTTCTGTTTTATTTTTGTGCATTTATCCTATAACGTTTGGGAGAAAATTCCATCAAATGATGTCATTCCGAAAAAGTAGTCCTGTGGCCCATCGCCATTTTGCAAAATGCATATACGCTCCTTTGCAAAATAGAGCAATTTTTCGGCCCAATTTCATGCAAATATCACAGAAACACGAGCTCACACTCCTGTGTACGGCTTTCACCCATTTTATTTTAATATCAAGTTCAAAGCCCTCAACGGTGTCCACTCTGCGTTTGTAACTCACAAACGCCTTGACCTCTAGTTGTGTTTGAAATGTTAGTACATGTAGGCCTACAGCTGTTACATAAGTTTAGGGTTCGACCTCAGCGGTGGCCCGCTAGCCTAAGTAGCCCGGTTGGCGAGTGAAAAATTATTAGGCTACGGCAAAGATGAAAGGACTGGAAGAAATAAATCATTCAATTGACAAGCAAACCTGTATCACTTTGTGTCTAATTTTAATATTTGTTTATGGTCAGATTATTAAAACACTGACAAGAGTGCCTCATGATACATGTTTTAGGCTACATGTATGCACATTCTTGTTTATAAGACACTCTTTAGTAACCGTCCCACACTCTATAAAAAAAAAAACCACGCCGGCTTGTAAAAATTAAGGGTCTGTTTTAGTAACCCGGCTGGAAAAAAATGTTAAGGGCGAATTTATTTTAAAAAAAAAACATTTCGTTTTCACTGTACCTTATAAAGCCGCGACACTGGTAAAAATAATAATGGGATAAAGAAAAACAAAAAGTTATGTGGTGTTGACCAAGCATTCAGGGGTCGCGATTGGTTACCAACTCCCATATAGGACTCTTCCTGGGTCTCGGATTCCCTGGCCCACCACACCTCCTTCCCTATCCATCCATGTAACCCCGGAGGGCCAAGCACCGTTAAGGGAGGAAACGAGGCGACACCCTATGCCTTGCTGCCGAGACAGCAAAAGAGCCCCGTACCTATGAGTAGATGCATAACCTGGACTTCGCAGACAGTCCCAGCCGGTGACTTAACTGATTGAGCTAAGGTCGGTTGGTATTTGACGACGGGAAAGAAAGACTCTTAAGTAAATGATTGAGCACGTGTATTGAAAATACAAAAAATGCACCGCGGTCCGTTTCGAACCCCGGACCCCGCGGTCTGTGGACGATGACTCGTACCACTAGGCTGTTGTACATACAGTCTTCATACTCAGAGTCTTAATATATAGTTGGAAACACTTAGAGGATTGTCAGCTCCAGTCTGCGCTTTGCCTTCATACATGCATGTAAAAAAAAGAACCCTCTAAACTTCGAAACTCCCGTCATAAACAAATGATTTAAATGTCTTGTAAAAAAAACCGAACCTGTTTCATAAACATGCACTTTGGCTGAAATTATGTATTCGTATATGCCGTACATTCGCCGTATTTTTCCCCCGCAAAGTATCGGTCTTTTCCCAATACCTTATACTCTTCAATCCATTAATTTTGTTTCTCGGAATTTCGATGTACATCACTCTACTAGGCAAGCTATTCATCTCCATCCGTCACTTACTGCTTCTTTTGCTTCAAAAATACGAGGGATCCGAGTGATAGTCCACTGATCCCTGAAGAATTTTCTTAATTTTTACAAATCTATTTTGCTGCATGTTTAACTTGATATATCTTACTATAGTTTTCATATCTTCTTAGGTTTATTTCTTCCGCATTACGATCGCTGACTTTTTATATACCTAAACGTGGATATGATGACCTTTTTATTTCTTGAAACAAATTTTCCCCCGTTTTTCGCAGCTTTGTGTAATAGCGAGTTGACAAACTCAAGTTTTATAAAGTGGAGAACATGCATATTGAACTTCCTGGAATTTTACTCACTGAGTAAAAAAGAAAGAAAAGAAATGGGTAATTGGTAATTTCTGTTTTTGAGAGAGGGGGGGGGGCATTGCCCCCGTTGGCCCCCGCCCGGATCCGCCGTTGCGTGTGTATGTCCCTTTTCACTGTGGCATCTTCATTGACAGAGCCAAGGTTTTTACCAATTATTTTTTCAGTGTGACGTCGCAAAAAAGGCAGCCATGCTACGTACAGCATAAAATTTCAGCCACCATGCAATGATGCCATGAAGAGTCCTAGTGCCCCCTTGCTTTTCATATCGAATTTGGGGCGGAACATTTTGGACCCACTTTTTCGGGGAACAAAATAATGTTTGGCCCACCCGAAACAACCGCTGTGTTGTGGATTTGGCCTTATACAATGTGTGCGAGACCAGTACCGGTACACGCTGTCAATAGTGTAACGCCCGATATTGGAAGAGAAAGTAAGGTGTGTTCAAATTCCTTGGTATACTGTAGCAATTGGAAAGAACTGTATTACCGAGTACATTGTTGAGTGACGATTACTTGTGGTGATACTCTCAGTCAATACAATTGAGGGCACTATGCAAGTTTAACGGTCAAGCCTACGCAGGTTTGGTTTAGGGTAAAAGTACGAAAAGTAGTTCGAGCAAAATTAGCTGTTTCGGCGACGTAGCTCGCCGAAACAGCTCCTGCTAGTTACATGTGTTCATATTTGGATTAAGATAGATAAAGGGGTTCTTTGCTGTTGTGATTAGAAAGAATGGTAAATGATTACATAATAATTGAACAGTGTGAGTGTGCAATGACGACCGGGTTGCGTGATTACTTTTGGTTGATTGAGGGCGCTATTCAAGTTTAACGCTTAAGCCTACGCGTAGTTTGTTGTGGGAGTGCAACTTACGAAAAGTAGTCCGCTCAGAATTTGCTGTTTTGGTAACGAAGTTCCCGAAAGGTAAAACGCGTTTTTGGTAAAACGCGGAACTGTTATTATTGAAGGTCTTCCCGGGTGAATTTTCCCCAGGTTAAAAATCACAGGAGTTGTTGAGAATATAATACACTTATCCACATTAAAATTAAAACATTGCGATGATTTTTAATGTTGGTTCTGTAACGATAAACATGCCCCCTCCCACAGCATCGGACCCATTACACGTATACTGTACATACCGTGCATTAGGCCTATTTGCACAAATCCTTTTTTTGGTAAAACGCGGAACTGTTATTATTGAAGGTCTTCCCGGTTGAATTTTCCCCAGATTAAAAATCACAGGAGTTGTTGAGAATATATATCACACTGATCCACATTAAAATTAAAACATTGTGATGATTTTTAATGTTGGTTCCGTAGCAATAAACATGCCCCTTCCACAGCATCGGACCCATTACACGTATCCCGTGCAGTAGGCCTATTTGCACAAAAAAACTGAATTGGTAAAACGCGGAACTCTTATTTGAAGGCCTTCCCGGGTGAATTTTCCCCAGAACAAAATCACTGGAGTTGTTGAGGATATAATACACTTATCCACATTAAAATTAAAACATTGTGATCATTTTTAATGTTGGTTCTGTAACGATAAACATCCCCCCCCCCCACTGCATCGGACCCATTACACGTATCCCGTGCAGTAGGCCTATTTGCACAAAAAACCTGAGTTCAAGGTAAAACGCGGAACTCTTATAATTGAAGGCCTTCCCGGGTGAATTTTCCCAGAACAAAATCACAGGAGTTATTGAAAATATAATACACTTGTCCACATTGTGATGATTTTTAATGTTGGCTCTGTAGCCATAAAAATGCCCGCACAGCATCGGACCCATCACACGTATACTATACCGTGCATTAGGCCTATTTGCACAAAAACCCGAGTTGGTAAAACGCGGAACTCTTATTATTGAAGGTCGTCCCGGGTGAATTTTCCCCAGAAAAAAAATCACAGGAGTTATTGAGGATATAATACACTTATCCACATTAAAATCAAACCATTGTGATCATTTTTAATGTGGGTTCTGTAGCGATAAACATGCCCCCTCCCATAGAATCAGACCCATTACACGTAGGCCTATTGTACACCTATATCGTATGTACAAAAGCCTGGGTGGCTAATAACGCGGAACTCTTATTATTGAAGGTCTTCCTGGGTAAATTTTCACTAGAAAAAAAATCACGGGAGTTGTTCAGGATATGATACACTTATCCACATTAAAATTAAAACATTGTGATGATTTTTAATGTTGCAAGGTTATGTAGCGATAAAGATGCCCCCTCTTACAGCATCGGACCCATTATACAAGTGATGGATGCCCGTGCTTGATAATAACACATGGCCGGAACAAACCCCCTGAAAAAAACTTGACTTGGTAAGATATGGGCATCTCATAACATCTCATCTCATGTGTAAATTTCCCCCAAAAATGCTCAAATAAATTTTTGGAGGATATACGACACTTGTCGACATGAAATGTTCGTAGTGATAAACATACCACTTCCCCTTATAGCTAGCTAACAACAGTTGCACGCGCATCTGAACACTGGATTTGTAAACGGTATTTATCTTTTACCGCATGTGTTCTGCGGTCATAGCGTCAACACAGCGTCAACACACGCAGAAGTACGACCCCGCGTAATTTGAAGGGTAATTTTAGGACTAAGTTATGAGATCTGAACGTCAGTCTATTTTCCAATTGAGTATTTTGTCTTTGTTCAGTGTAATCTCCATTTGTTTGCTGAGTTCCGCAGAGTTCCACACGTTCTGCAAGTTCCGCAAAATGCAGTTACTTTATAGACCAACACAACAGGTACAACGTAACTGCTGAGTGCTGGCAGTCCATGCGCTGCATACAGTGTGCAGTCGCATGTTTACCTATATACGTGTCAATGTGAGTAGTGTGACTTTACTGACCAAACTCCAAGAATGGATGCCAGACTCAGTTTCTTACCCAGGCATCTCAGACAAAGTTTAATGCCTTTCCAAAAAGAGGGAGTCCTGTATGCGCTACAAAGAAATGGCAGGTTCGTCATAATATTCATCATGTTCATAATAAAAATTTAAATTAGGCCCCCCCTAATAAAAATTATTAAAAATTAAAAGCAAATTTTCCCCCAAAATTCCTTAACTTTTTCATTATTTTCTCAATTTATCATTTTTCTGAGCGTGAACAGGGGAGCATTTGCCCTGCCCCCCTCCCCCCCAGCATCAACTTAACAGCAATATGGCTTTGCACCTCCTTTTCCTTTTTTTGTTTTTGTTTTTTTGTTTTCCGGGGGGCGGGGGGGGGGGGGGGAACAAGTGCCCCCTTTGCCCCCCCCCCCTCATGACGCCCATGCAAATGACTAATGACGAATGAAAGGGGTCTTATATCATAGAGTGACAATCAGCAATTAGTGACTAGCCTAAATTGGTTTACAACTATGTAATCAGTACATGCATGTTGGTAAACATGGTAAAGTTAATATTTCTCTTTTATTTCTTGTTGCAGATGCCTCTTCGGAGATGAAGTGAGTATGCGTTCTCAATTCAGATTGACAAATAATATGTGAATTGTAAAAAATTCTCAGATGAGGTCATTTGGAAGGATGATCCCTTGCAGACTGAGACCGTGAGTGCATAAAAACGTGCAAAATTACTACTGACGTTTTTTTACTCACCATTAGGCTAATTAATGCCCACACAACACATACATCAAAATGATAAAGTTGCAAGCATGTCACCTGCGAAATTTGAGACCTTAAATCCAATTTTAAGGCAAGTTTTTGGCAGTTCAAAAACCATCCACGTCAATCTCCATGCTCTGGAAATGGGTGTGTGATTCCCAATGTATTCTGGGTAGGTGTAGGAAGAGCCTTGCAGCTTACTTGTTTTTTAATTGATAGCCAAATGAACATAGCGCCCTCTGTTAAAAAATGAAACATTCTACATTCACTCAGATCAACAAGAGGGCGCTGTTTTATCTACAAGATGAAAATGTTCTAGCTAGGGAGTTTTTTTGCACAATGCATTGCAGTACACATCAACGTGATGTCTCACGTTTGGATTTCGATAACTCTCTGCAAAATTAGAATTAAAAGCTGAATTTTTGGTGATGCAATGCTCACAACAGCAACTTTGCGAGGCAGAAGTTTTGGGGATTATTGAGGAAACTGTAGTGAGTAAGAAGCTTGCACATTTGATTCACACTGGTTTTATTATGCAGCACAAACTTTTGCACGATATGGATACCTTAAGTTTTGGGACTCTCATACACAGTATTGAGAGTCCCAAATTTTCGGACTAGATCCCTTGGGTAAAATGACACAATGTCATAGGTGTAAAATGACAAACAATCTGTTAAATCTGTTTTGCCATTTGTCTGATTCATTTGTTTACGTGTAGATGGGGCTTGGTAAGACCATCCAAGCTATCAGTGTGGCCTACTTCTACAGATCAGAGTGGCCCTTGCTCATTGTTGTGCCGTCCTCTATGCGTTATCCGTGGATTGAAGAGTTAGAGAGGTGGTTACCAGACCTCCAGCCAACTGACATGAACTTGATCTCTTCTGGGACCGATGTAAGGTAAAAGGAATGCGTACCATATACATGTGTTACTATTACTGCAATTTGAATGAATATGCTTTGAATATGAACTTTGACCTGTGCTTTGAAAGTGGCCGACTTTACAAAAAGTAACTTTACGAAAAGTCTAATTGTTGTTTACTGTTTACAGGAACATACCAAAATGCAAGGTTTCCTTAGTCGGGTATGGATTGCTGCGTAACGACAGCCAGACCTTGGTGAAAGCACTGACGGACCAGACGTTCGGGGTTGTGATCGTCGACGAGTCTCATTACATGAAGAACAAGAAAGCGGCGCGCACCAAGCTACTGGTTCCCTTGCTTCAAGCGGCTACGAGGGTTATACTGCTGACTGGTACTCCGGCTCTAGCGAGACCAGCCGAGGTAAGGTTCAGATCTATCGTGTTTAAGTCGAGGTACATATGATGGGATATACCGTGCAAGATTTGAGACTCCAGTGTCTGTATACCCAATGGGCACCGTGCGCCAACAAAAGAGGGCATGTTTTTACCACTTTTGATAACCCTATGAACGGGACACACAGCGTGTGTGCACTATGGCGAACTGGTTCACGCTTGAAGTACGCACAACTTCCTGAATGTGCCAAAGCTATTAGCCACAGCGTCTTCGCGTGAGCATCAGGCATCGTCAGCGCGCGAATAGGTTCGAATCTAACTTGCGATGGTCTCCCACTGGCAGACTATTCCCGGCCACCCATAAGCTTGGTTCAATCGAAATACGCAGTGGATGGACCAGGAACCATTCTAGGTCTCCCCCAACTCTCCTTTTCTGGCCGTTGAAGGAGTACTTGTGCCCGGAGCCCATACACACTCCAGACTATTGTTACCTATCACATCCCCCTAGATATCTATCAAAAGAATTCCTGAGATTCCGGGACGCAATGATCAATACAAAAGGGGCGGGAAGGGAGGTTGGAGACTCTTCGTAGCATATCTTGCTTCAAATGGGAGCACAAGACCTCAAAAGTCAATCACAAGTTATCCAGTCCTAAGCCAAGTCACAAGCTGTTCAAAAGACATTCCATTGTTATTATTCGTCCCCTGTTGCTTGTGATGGGACTTGAGATTTGGTGGCTTGTGATTGACTTGTACCTCAACTACCTCAAATTGCATGTCCTTATGAATTCACACTTGATTATAGGCTCTCAGCTTCGGTCCACAAATTGGGCCACCGGTATCAAATGATCGAAAAAGAGCAACGCTCAGAGCGATTTTTGACAAGGTATACACATCTAGAATTGGAAAATGTGTTTAGCTTTGTAGTGTGAGCGGTGGCAGTTTTTGGGTTAATTTTTTTTTCTTCAAAATGGCCGCCAATATGCTTGAACCGGATTAATTATATGTGGTAACAAGCATGTTTTGGCTGCCATTTTTTTAAAAACAGTGATAGCACCCAAAAAGCTGCCACCGCTGCAATGCTATCACTTATCTTCCAACTACAGGGGTGCATACCTTGCCAAAAAATCACAATGACCACTATTCCCCTCGTTTGATACCGACCAAACCCCCAGGCTGATGGCCTGTTAGGATTCTCATTAACTTCTAACGTCAAGTAATCGTGACAAAATAAAATACTTCAAAACATTTCATCGTCGTGTTTGGCTGGTTTTGTTTTTAGCTGTTTACGCAGATTGACAGTTTGCAGAAGGGGCTTGTGGGTAGCTGGTCGCAGTTTGCAAAGCGGTACTGCAACGCTCGCTGGAGACATTTTGGAAAACAGAGAACATGGGATACATCGTAAGTAATATGTTCGGAGCTGAAAAGCGGAACCCAAACCCCCAAAAATATATTTCATATTTAAAATAATATGTAGCACCAAAAATAATAATGACTGGAAAGCCAATTTCTAAGCTACTTTTTGGTGAAAAATTACTGAAATTGCTCAATCCGTTCAAAGAATATCAGTATTTGAACGCAATGACCCAAAAAACCTTTTTCGTCCAATAAAAACCAATTTATTGCGTATGCTGACTACTCTACAACAAACAAAATGACACAAAATACTTGTTTCAACAACTGTCAACAACTGTAGTACACAATATCTTTATTAACAACCCTGGTTAGGCAAACAATATGATTTATGAAATCCATTTTTTTTTTAATAAAAATGTGAAAAAAAATGAAGCAACCAGGTTTCACATTAGATGAGCTAATCATTACAAGTTTACGTTTTGTCCCAGAGGTGCTTCAAATCTCGATGAACTGCACAAGCTTCTAGTCCAATCAGTCATGATACGAAGGCAGAAAAAACAGGTCAGTACACAGGAAAAAGCCAAGGCAAGAGATAAGTCCAGTCAAGTGATTATGCACATTATTTATTTCATTTAAAACAACAAAACATGCTAGTGTCATGATTTAGGGCGTAATTCCTGGCTACATGGGATATATGGGTGTATGGCTTCTGACTAGCAACCCTTGAACAAAGACACTGGCAAAAATGGAGAACCACCAACATTGGGCTGGATAGCTCAGTAGGTAGAGCACTGGAACGGAAATCTGGAGCTCACAGGTTCAAACCCCGCTCCAGTCATTTTTTGTGTTCAACTTTTAAAAAAAAAACATATTATTTTACTTGTGGCAATGAAAATTATAGAAGTGATCAGTTTTAGAGGTGGAAGCTAAATCTCGTTTGACATTTTGCGAGAAAACTCACAGAATTAGGCAGAGACTGAAAATCCACTCCCCATGTCGGCCTGGGAAGGGCTTGAACTTGGGTGACAGTGGTGGAAGGCGAGGACTCCCCACACATGACATCACACTGTCAATCTCATCGCGTTATTAAAACTTGATGGGGCACTTGCATAAACAATTGACCTATCGCCGTTTTCGAGTTAGTCACGCCCCTTAGACAACCCAATGGAATTTTTGTACACTAAGTTGTGTTTCTCAGATTTTCGGTTCCGCGTCCATATGTATATCGTGTAATTGGACAATATTTCACAAGCTGCGTTTACGCGATTTCTACGGTATTGTACCGCGATAGGTCAATTTTGGCATGGTCTATTTAACGTTGGTCTTTATCTATAAACATCTTAACCCTTTGAATGCAGAAATATTTGCCGTAATTAGACTTAAGAAAGTTTTGAAACTTTGCAAGGTGGTAGCGTTATGTAGTGAAGGTTTGGTGATACTATGTGGAAAATCTCTTTTGAGAAGATGTTTGGTTGTGAAACTCGACGTTCCAATGTGTATACTCTGATCGTCTTCAGGAGATCTGAAAGAGAGTACTGAAGATGATCAGAGCAAACTGAATAGAACGTCGAGTCTTTTCAGAACCACGCTTTTTCTCAAACGAGATTTTCCACATGGTGTCACCACAAACCTCCACCAGTAATAAGACTTTATGCCCTGTGCACAGTGAGTTGATGTATCAACATTTGTTACCAAACGCAAATATTTAAGAAACTGACAAATGAAACACATATTTTTAAATTTTATTTTTGTGGTTTTGGTTTCTCCACTTGTGAAAGGTTTTAACCCAACTGCCACCGAAGAGAAGACAGAAAGTGCCATTTGAGTTGGCTGACTCCGTGGAGAAAAAGGTAAAATGAACGTGGGGATAGAAATTTTTAAGAATTGAGATATTTATTTATCTGGATTTTGCAGAGCAAGTGCTTTTCAACGGTATACAACATTAAGGGGTACTGAGTTCTGTAACGGAAATATAGACTGCCAACTTCAATTTAAGTTGTAAAAAGTGATTCTTGCGTGAGAGAATGGAATTAAAAAATCCTGCAACTTATAATAGACAGGATGAAATGGGTTTTAAAGATGTTGGAGGGAACCAAAAAATTGGAGAAAGGGAAAACAGGACTTACAGATTAAGGTGTCCCTAAAAACAAAAACATTGACCACCCCTTCAAATATTGGCTTTGCCCCACTGTACGGCAAAATGGCAATTTAAGCTCATTCCGCGGCAACAGATCACAATTTTAATACTCGGCTCCATGACACCTGTCCCTTATATTCTCTGAAGGGTGTCGATGTAACTCACTTAAAATATTTTGATTAGGAACTGGAAAAATGCTGGACTGAACTGGACAAAGTGATGAACCCCCAGTCAGCAGCTGCTGTGGAAGAACTGAGCAACAGAAGCTTTGAGGTGAAGAAGCTTGCCACACAGATGTATAACTTAACGGGAAAAGCCAAGGTAGAGTGGAAATGAATGTACATTCAGATTTTAACAATGTGCTTCCTTTGCACTTTTTTACCAAAAATCAAAGTATTTGTAATATGTGACCTGTTCTGTCAAAAGCAGACGCTTCTGGGCAGAGGTTGACATTGAGATAGGGCCAAAAAACGCTGTGGGGGTGTTTTTTTTTCCATTTTCTAATTTTTGCATATTTGTAATTCCGAGCATGTCTAAAATATACTATAAAAGTTTGAAACCCTAATTTGATCTCTAATTATAGTATTTTTGATGATTTGTTAAGGTATATCAGTTAAAGAAATGTCTGTTTTGTGACGTTCGTGTCCATTCTCTCTGTTTTCTACTTTTTGACCCAATGAACTTCAAAATAGCATAACTTTGCGCAGGAAAGACCGGTTTCAAAAATTAAACCACCTATTAAAAGGAAACAGAACATATTTTAACAATATGCAAAAATCTCATTTTTGACCTTTTGCCCAGAAAAGTCTGATTTTGACAGAACAGGTCACATATATGCCTGTTCATCAGGCGATGAGACTAGTTTTCTGCAGAGGTTTTGAGATCTGCGCAATCTGGTCTCTACGCTCACAGGTGGAGAGGGGCAGTTGCAGTAAAGTGTCCTGCCCAAGAATAGTGCTGTGCATTTACGGGTTTTACAGGAACCGGGTATCCTGTTGGAAGTAAAAGACGGGTACCCGTAAAAGAAACCCAACCCTAAAATTCAAATCCCGGAAGTTGTCTGAAGGGCTTTATAGCTTTACGGTGTAAACTGCAACTTTCACGAGCGTCATCTGTCATGTGTTAAAATACACATAAACGTGAAAACTGCTTTGGTTTTCCATGTAGCCTGGTTTTCATTTTGACAATTCCCCACAAATGTCATGCAAAGCATTTCTTTTTCATTGTCTGAGAAGTTACTGAGTAATTTGTGAAGTTGGTTTCGGATACTCGATCCCATAATTGGGACCGTTTCCTGACATCAGCGGTCAAGTACTCGGATACCTGGTTCGGATTTACACCCCTATCCAAAAACACGAGCACCATTTGACAATTTTTAACAATCTTTAAAACTCCCTAGGCTATTTTGCTAGGTTGTAGCCTCAATCCTGCAAAATCCTCCAATTGGCCTCATGGAAAAATAGCATATAGCCTCAATCCTGCAAATTCCTCCATTATTTCTTGAATATGGTCCGTGGAGGGGTGACCGCTGCCTGAATCCTGCAAAATCCTGCGGCAGTGACTGTCAATATGTTGAGGCTTGGCCAGTGACATCCTGGAGCAGTACGGATGTTTTCAAGCATAATCCAGGCCTACATTTATGCATGGCTGAGCACAAACAACACAAGGTCTGGCCCAAGATCTTGACAAAGTGCATCCTACGAAATCAGTAATGCACTTTTGCCATGTAACCTCAATCCTCCAAATTTCTCCACTTTGGCAAAGAGGATATTGAAAGATTCAGGGCAATTAGGGTTAATCTCAAGTATGAACTGAGCCCAATATTTATTTATGGACGTTTTCATTAATTTCTTTTTTGCAATGTTTATTGACTTGTTGGTAATCTAGATAGGCGCTGTGTGTGAGTACATCAAGATGCTTCTGGAGAACCAGGACTTGAAGTTTCTCGTCTTTGCTCATCACAAGGAGGTCTTGACCGCCTTGGCACAGACGGTGACTGCCTACGCTAAGGAGCATAAGACACAACTCAAGTATATCAGGATCGATGGCGATGTACCAAGCATCGAAAGAATGGTAAGATGTGCAGAAGAAAGTGTAACTTTTATTGTTATGGCCAAAAAAAAAAGTCTCCGGTTTCTGGTATGGAGCTTGCCCAAAAAGTGGTGCGGCGACGCGGCTTTTTTTTTTTTACCTGTCTTTTTTGCTTCAAATGTCAGCTGATGACTGCAAATGGTGCCCGACTAAACTTAGTGCAAATATATGGGAGTCCAGAGAGGCCACATAAAGCTTATTCTCGACCATAACCCAATCTAAAAACACGTTAAAATCAGCAGCAGGATTCCAGTCAAACCAGTGAGTTTGGCGGTTTTAAGACATCATCTTTTATTGAAAAAAAAACTTTTTCATTTTGCCGACGCGCATGGCTACGGCGACGCGTGCGCATACCAGAAACCGGAGACTTTTTTTTTTTGGCCTATTGAGATCAGCCTTCCAGTGGTAAAAATAAATCAGCGTATTGTACGCTTTCGTAAAACGTACCCGGATGACTGCAATATTATGTCAGTAAAAACACCTCGATGAGGACAATATTATTTTTTATATTGTCCTCATCCGGGTATTTTAACAAATTTCATTAGTTTTCACTCAATCAAGAGTGTAGAAAGTCACAGGTGTTAACCAGTGAACAGAGCGTAGTGCGCTGGCACATGCATTTGGTACTGTTTTGTCAACAAAAATGCCAGTTTCGAGCGGGGCAAGATTCGCTACGGTTAGCGAAAATTCGACGAAATTTGAAAACTTAAAGACACTTTATTATTCCTCAGATTTTATTCAATTCAATTCTATTCATTTCAAACTCACATTTATTTCCGTACCAAAATGAGAAATACAAGCATAGAATACACGAATAAGTAAATAAATTCAAATCAACCCCCTCCGACTTCTGTGACAAATTCATCTATCCACACACGTAGGGGGAAAACTAACGTCAAATGTGGTTTGTGGTTTCCAAGTGGTTTGAAGGACACAGCCCGTCAAGTTAGATTTGCCTCCTGACAGTATGACGCATCTTTGGAATGTGATGGGGGAAAGCCTGATGAGGATGGCATGCCAAACACTCCTTGGTATTTCTTTGAACTGTTCCAGATGACACTTTGTTCAAGATTTTGTTCTGAAATGATGCACAATTACCGTGACATTTTGGACAGTCCAATTTCAAAACTTAATAACTTCACTTTGGAATATCCGATTTCAAAAAACAAAGCGGCTTTTCAAAGAGCAAAGAGCAAATTGATTCTGAAATTTTACTTATTTTGCCAATAACTCAAAATAAACTTCTTGCCCAAAAGTGCCTGATTTTGACATGCCATGTCACATATAGTGATTGAAACTTTATTTCATGTTCCAATACAGCATTTGGTGAAACAATTTCAAAATGACGACGACACGAAGGTAGCCCTACTAAGCATCATGGCAGCTGGAACAGTAAGTTTCGATACAATTTGACCCCTTTTACCCCACAACTTTGAAGTTCACAAAATTGAAGGTTATTGATGGCTACAACATAGTACAACATAAAAAAATGAGTGGAATGAGCCAAACTTTTACGTCTGAAGTAAACAGATCCAGTTTAGGGCTGTGGGGAAAATTGGAATATTCGAATATTCAATCGATTATCGAATATTCGAATATGAATATTCGGAGGTGAAATGCAATGAAATAAAAAGGTGGTAAAAACTTTGTTTTTAATAACAAAAGTGCTTTTTCAAAGTGAAGTTTCAAAGTTGTTGCCAAAAAAACCCCCATAAAAGCAGCTTGTTTATATGCCAAGCAATAGTGCCATTCATATATTACTTCTGCTTTGGGAGTGCTTGCGGTAACCCGGCCAACCCATTTTTTTTACGCCGGACCGCAACCCTGATCGCTGATGCTTCCGACAAGATAAAACAAAGCTTTTTGTCTTTCATGTCTTCACAAAACACTTTGTTATTCAGGGTTTGACCTTGACGGCAGCTGCCCAGGTTGTGTTCGCTGAGCTGCACTGGACGCCGGGCGTCCTGGAACAGTGCGAGGATCGAGCCCATCGCATCGGCCAACACAACGCAATCCATGTCCATTATTTGGTTGCCAGGGGAACCATTGACGAATGGCTGTGGTCTGCCTTATCCAGGAAGGTAAGCGAGTTTTTTGTGTGGATTAAAAACAAAACCAAATCAAGAAGTCCAAATCAACGAAGTGATTGTGCTTACCGTATATGTGATCTGACTGTTGGAGACCAGCTTGTGTGAAATGCATAGGATGGGGTAATGTAGTGAAATTATGATTGCCTATGACTGTTCAAGGCGAAGGAATGTTAATAGACCAGCAGAGATGATTATTGTGGTTGATAGGAGGCGGACATTGCAGAAATTCCTATCTTTCATTTCATTTTCATGTATTTCATTTTTCGGGATACACTTGTTACAACAAACAATGACATTAAAGACACAAAAATACACATGAACATTTTAGACAAAACATTTACTTGCACCAAAAGAAACAAGGTTTCTGTCGAGGGGCTCTCCAACCGATTAAATATGACCCGCTAAAAACAATGTTAACAAATTATAATTATGTAAAACCTTAAAGAAATAAAACAATATTTATACAAGTCTGTAATGAATACAACTATGAATAAAACAAATAATTGCATTGTGTCTTAAATTGCTATACAGTAAATAAGTATACATAATAAAATGATTTGGAAACTTAGGCACAATTTATATGACAAGTTCTAATAGCACTTCACTGTAAACAAATTCTTGCCAGCGAGCTACTTAAAGATTTCATTTTATTAAAATACTTTTGAAAAAGTTGATTAAAACAATTTTGAGAAAGATCAGCATTTAAACTTTACCACTTTTTTGGCCTTTGGAATGAACCAGTTGGCTCTTAGCGCATGATTTCTTGTCTCATTTCAGGTCAATGTCTTGAGCAGTACCCTGAATGGACGGGTCCAACACTTGAGGATGGAGGAAAAAGGAGGCGAGGAGGTGGAGTTCCTCAAACACGCTGCAGCTTGGTTGCCTAGCAACCGAGACCTGGAAGATGATGACAGTTTCTACTTTGACAACAAGGTTTGTTCAAATACATGTGGGTTAGTCTATAAATTTGGCGTCAACTTTTTTTCCCTATCCGTGCTACATCTGACATGAATGATTTTATAATTCTGATGCACTCCTTAATGCAGTTGTCTTCCAAGAGTGATTATGAAGAGCAAACTACTTACCCAACAAATGCAAAATTGTTTGAAGTCATTCTTAACCCTCTCCGCCCTGAATCCTTCAAAATCCTCTTTGCCAAAGTGGAGGAATTTGGAGGATTGAGGTTACATGGCAAAAGTGCGTTACTGATTTCGTAGGATGCACTTTGTCAAGGTCTTGGGCCAGACCTTGTGTTGTTTTTGCTCAGCCATGCATAAATATAGGCCAAGATTGTGCTTGAAATCCTCCGTATTGCTCCAGGATGTCACTGGCCAAGCCTCATTATATTGACAGTCACTGCCGCAGGATTTTGCAGGATTCAGGCAGTGGTCACCCCTCCACGGACCATATTCAAGAACTAACGGAGGAATTTGCAGGATTGAGGCTATATGCTATTTTTCCATGAGGCCAATTGGAGGATTTTGCAGGATAGAGGCTACATCCTAGCAAAAAGGCCTAGGGAGTTAGGGTTAATGATACTTAAATGGCATATTACAAAGTACCAAGGTAACTGGGACAGGAAAAATGCCAGACTTTGGATCCTAAATTTACAGAATGCCCATTTATACGTGACTAGACCCCACAAAAATCTCTCTCCACCCACTGAAAAACAAACGAACATGGTTTGCTCAGTGTTGTGAAATTCACAGCAGTCACATATTTGCATTGCAACATCTACACCTGGAAAGAGGACCAATTACGAAAAACAGTTGACGCTCGTTAACGACAAACATCTGTTACTACAAAGTTCTGATTATAGTGAACATGAGGCCTCAGTCCCATTTTTGCATTTATTATAAAATGAATGGGACTGGCACTCCTTTTAATGCAAAATTTGGATTCAACAAACATTTGGTTAGGTGCATATGATTGTGTGTTAAAGGGAGTCGATCATGTTCAATTTGTTGGTTTCATTTGGCACTTTGCAGAAAACGAGTCACGACATCCGCACGTTCTTCACACCCAGTCAGAGCGATAGCACCAAGCAAAGAAAACGTAAGCGTCCATCATCGAGTAAACCCGCAGAAACACCACCGAATCCTCACAAGACAGAGACCATCTGCATTGATGATGATGATGATGATGACTTCAAAGTTGCCAAGAAACACAAGCCGTCTTGTGACCGGAGCCCTAAAGAGCTGTTTTCCGATGACGCTCAGCCTGTCAATACGACAGTTTGCCCAACACCTGGTGCTGCCACTAGAAAGTCACAGAAAACAACTGCTAAGGATGAAATCACTGCGTCGGCATCCTCGAAGGATGAAGTTGTTGTATCGCATCAATTTATAGACAACTTGCCAGAGATGAAAAGTAACAAGAAACGTCAGCGACGTTCCAAAGACAAGACGGAAAATGCTTGTTCAGATTCTCAGTCAGAGAGACTTCCTGACTTTGATTCGAAGTTAGAAGATCCGAGCGCGTCTCCCCAAAAGAGCAACCAATCAAAAAGAGAACACTGTACACCTAGTTCATCCAGGAAACCGCAAGAGGAGAATGCAGTGAGAAATATGGACACCCCCTCGCCACGTAACTTACCGGCCCAAAAGTTTAACACCAATGAAAGCTGGAGTTGTTGCGCTTGTACATTTGAGAACCATGCCGAATTGCCTTTCTGTGAAATATGCAGTACGCCAAGAAAGACTTCAAGAAGCCGGTCATCAGAGCCGTTAAGAAGAGATCTCTGCTTGGAACAGGGCAAGGTGCAAGACAGCAGTGATGGAAAGGAAAGAATACCCAAAAGTGAGCAGTCATCATCCACAACTCCGCAAACATCTGCATCATCTGTTGCAAACAGCACTGGAAGCAGTTCTGTGAAAGTAACAAAGCTTGAGAAACATGCTGCGTGTTCCAATCACCCAAAGCCCCCCAGCACTGTAGAAAAAACTTCACAAACACGGGAGACATACACTGATGACAACAACTCCCTGAGCTCTGACTCTGAGGCCACAGCATCTTATGACTTGCCTAGGGAGCCTCATGACATCTCACCCAGTCCCACAAGCTCTACCCACGAATGCTCCTCAGAAATTGAGATTCCAACCAAGTGTCCCAAACCAAAGAAAGTTACAGCTAAAAACCAGGATCATTCCAAAGACTTGAAAGCTACTAGTGATTCTGCCATTATGTCTGAAGAAAGCACATCAGAGGAACATTGGACGTGTGATGATCCCTACTGCGGATACCTCAACGCTGATTATGATACTGAATGCGAAGTATGTTGGAGCCCCAGACCAAAGCCGAAGTCCGACAAATCTCCGCGAGATTCACTCAGTCCTGGATTCATCAAAGCGTCGGAGCTAATTCAATCAGACACGTGTAAGAAAGCAAACAGCGCATCACCTGCAGAATCTTTGACATTCCAAGATGCTGAAGACTTGACTGCCGATGACTCGAGTCAGACAGAATCTGAGCAGGAACCAGTAGTCTATGACTCCTTCCTGTACTGTCCCAGCAAACATACGGACAGGATCTATCTGTATGACCAGGTTAGTCAAATATCTGATATGAAGACTCGTCATAACCAGAAGTGGACGAGTAGTGAATTTGTTCAACAAGAGCACTTGTGGCAGAATTGCTTACGAGTAGTCGAGTACTCTATGAGATTTTGACCGAAATTTATAATAGTGAAGCAAGGCAGTTGGCAAGAGTTGCGTTAGATATACATTTTGTAAAGCAATTTGGATAATTGGGTTCTTTATTTAATCATTATGTGAGCAACTATTGAAATACAATGGAGGAAACTTCCTTCTCAACGATGTTATGTGTAACTTTTAAGTGTCGCAGTCAAATCTTTTTCCCGAGTCTGACAAGTTTACCAAAAGAAACTTGGCATGTATAGTTGGAATTTAATCCGAAGAAACGAGGCAGTGTAGTCTGATTAGCTGAGCTTTTGATTATGGTAGGTAGGTGAATATTTGGACAAAAGCGCATGAAGAAATTGGACAAGTATTTAACCCGCGGTCCCTTTACCGCCCTGCCTGTTACTCCCTACTACCCAAAACCACCTCAGCCGCATGGTTTCATGGATCCATCAGGGAATAAATGCAACGTAACGCAATGTAATACGGTAACACAGTGTAATACAATGTTATACAACATAGGACAGGTGTTAATGCATGTAATCTATTTGTCCGTGTTTGTTTCATTCCATGTTCAGGATGGGACTGCTCTCAATTGCAGCTTCCAAGCCATCGATCTTCAGCATCGTGACTTGGAGTCGCTACCCAAAGCCCTTTGTCATGAACACAACATGCGTATAGCACTACGCTTCCTCAGAGAGTGGAATAGGTTATCATTAATTCTTGAGTTTCAATTAATATAATTGACAGATCCAGTGTTGAAAATGTTGACATCTGAGAAATACATTGGTATAAGGGAGACAAAGTTGCACGGTTTATTTCAGGAGAATTCAAAGACTGAATTTGAAATATTTTCGATAAATCGCTGGTAACTTTATCCCATGCTATACTGCATCTTGTCTGTTGACTTGCATATCTGTGGTGGCATCCATCACAAGTCAATCACAAGTCCTTCAGCCCTTAAAGTCAAGTCACAAGCTGTGAAAATGGTATCTTTTCGTTACTGCTCTGTTACTACAGGGTGAGTTAAAAAAAACGAAAACTTAGGCCAAAAAAAAAAAGTCTCTGGTTTCTGGTATGCGCGCGCGTCGCCGTAGCCATGCACAACGGCAAAATGAAAAGGATTTTTTTTCAATGAAAGATGATGTCTAAAAACCGCCAAACTCACTGGTTTGACTGGAATCCTGCTGCTGCACAATTTTAACGTGTTTTTAGATTGGGTTATGGTCGAGAATAAGCTTTATGTGGCCTCTCTGGACTCCCATATATTTGCACTAAGTTTAGTCGGGCACCATTTGCAGTCATCAGCCGACATTTGAAGCAAAAAAAAATCAGGTAAAAAAAAAAAAGAAAAGCCGCGTCGCCGCACCACTTTTTGGGCAAGCTCCATACCAGAAACCGGAGACTTTTTTTTTTTGGCCTTAATGTCGGGACTATTGTTTTATTGAAGTTCTTCATGTAGCACTTTGAAATCTAGGACATTAAAGCCCAATTCAAAGCTTTCCTTTTAGTACAAGAATCATTCAAATCACTTATGTACTTTTCAAGTTACGGAATTTTAAACACAACCTCTGTTTTAAAGTTCTGTCCACGGATCACAAAAAAAAAGATGTGCGTTCTTTCAGCAAAACATAAACGATTCACACACATCCCTATGTGGTTTGTTTTTGTTTTGCTGAAAGAACACTTACCTTTTTGCGATCCGTGGACAGAACCTTAAAAGGGTGGTTGTGTTTAAAATTCTGTAACTTGAAAAGTACATGAGTGATTTGAATGATTCTTGTACTAAAAGAAAGCTAATGAATTGGGCTTTCATGTCCTAGATTCTGAAAGTGCTACATGCAGAACTTCACTAAAACAATGGTCCCAACATTTGGGTTACGTTTTTTTTACTCACCCTGTAGACTTGTGATTTAAATTTGTGCTATGCTTGTGTTGGACTCCGCTACAACGCTGTTGACTTGTACATATTGATGAATGTACTGTTTGTAATACCCATCTTGAATTAATTTTGTTTTGCTTTTTAGTTTGAATGAAGTAAAGAGAAAACAGCTGAGGAAGACGGGTGAGGTGTTTGATAGTCCTGTGGCAGCACTGGAAGCATTGAAACAAGGACAGCATTACCAGCCATGCACTAAGAGATACATCACTAAGGTAAAGTCCCCATGGGCTGCGTGCACAAATACCCCCTCAACGGTTAGACAGGGGGAGTTAGGGGAGACCTCTGGGAGAGACATTCAAATGCATTGCTGACGACTACAGACGCTCACGCTATAACCTCTTTGCTATGGTTTTGTGGACATTCAGAATAAACTAAGTCGTGTGTACTTCAGGCTATACGCATGAACCATTTCGCTGACACTGCGTGTCCTGGGGCACGTTTTGGCGCTGTGACCGTAAACATGTTTCTGGTTCGCTGTCGTTTTGGCGCTTCGATTACACTGAAATGACGTCATTGTTTCGACCAAAGTTAAACCGAAGTTTCCGGTCGGTTCACTTATGTTTCAAGATGGCGGAAAGGTAAACAAGCTTAGCAGACGACGTTACTTTTTACCATAAATGGGGTTTAAATAATGGGTTTTTACCTTCAATTGGTACGAAAGTTGATACACAATATCAGGCCTACTCTTTTTAGAACTTTAGGGAAACGCTATAAAAAAAACTCCCACTTTTGCTTTGAATGTTATTGTTAATCATGTCCGGTCGCCGCGTGATTTTTTTTGGGGTTGTGTGCAGTCACGTAGGCAGTAACATGACGTCATGAACAATTTTCTGGTCAGTCGTTTTCGCGGTGCACAGGAAACATGTTTCAGGTCACGGCTGTGACGTCAGAAACATGTTCCAGTTCAAGGGCCGCCAAAACGTGCTCCTGTCCACTTGGCTCTCGAAATTGGTAAGAAAGCGCCCTCTCTTGTTCGCGCATGGAGCCCATACTGTACAGAATGACATCCTTGTTATATCTCTTTCAGTTGTAAATTCAGTTAAAAGTTTACCTCTAGATTCTGCATACAGGAAGTACAAATTTCAAGCAGAGTAGAACGCTGCTATAATGAACACCACTACGACGAACATTCGGTTTTACCGAATGTCCCCTTTTGCTCCAGATTTAGTTCTGAACGTTTCTGAATTTTTTGGAAAAGTTGTTCCACTCGTCCATTTGTCTCCACGTGAGTGCTTCTGAACGGCATTCGGACGTCAAAAATGCTAATTTGCCAAATGAAATCCAACGACTCAAATTCAGTCAATGGAAAAATAATACATAAAGTTCTCCTGTCTGAAACCACTTGGACAGCCTGACTTGCTCCAAAGTTGCTTTGGTGTGGCTTAGGTCATGTCCTAATTACATGTACTTGGCTACAGTTGGCAATTACACACGCGGCTATGGATGTGGCTACAGCCACTTCCCATAGACTCGTGTGTTATCTTCAGCCGTAGCCCAGTAATTCGAAAGCGGCCTTAGAATGTCAGTCTTAAAAACAGGTGTTACATAAATAAATAGTACCACTGTATCTCTCTGTTAACCACATCTTTGCATTGTTGCTTGATGGAATTGTCGGACATTTAGGTGGACTTGGCAGAAGCGGCGAGACAGAAGGCGGAATCGCTCGGTGGAAGCCTGAGGGTCATATCCAAAGCAAAGCCAACCGCTAAAACAGCCAAGCGAAGATTACATCACCGTCCTGGCGATCCAGGTCCGTCAAACCAAGGTAATCACTCTGGTCCAGAATAAATATCTCCACTGCTGTTGTAATTCTGACCTCTGTATTGAGGTTTATTGAGAGTTGTACACCAACATAGCATTGTTGTCGAGACCTTTTCTGAGACCCCAAACAAGTACTCATGTAATGGGACATCAGATTGGATTTAAACAATAGTACTCATTCTAAGCTTATTATACATGTATGACGTATTTTGTCACCAAAAATATTAATAACTGATCAAACAGAAAAAGGTCTTGACAATCATACTGACAAATGGTGCTCCAAGGAAAATTGTGCTGCTGACTTTCTTGGTTATGTTGTAGATCTCAAACGAAAACTGTCACACTGAAAATGGTTTGATTTTTCTCATTATGGGTACTGTAGAACAAGCATCATCGTGCCAAACCAGTGTAAAGTCTCCGACTACAAGACATACCGGCAACAAACCCAGGGAGAAAGCTGGTCATGTCAGCCATGCCACCAGCACACACACTGCTGATACTCAAGCAGGTCAGTGTCTAACAGTGTCAAAGTCATGTCCATCACAAGCCCAGTCACAAGCCCAGTCACAAGTCAATCACAAGTCCAGTCACAAGTCAATCACAGGTCCATCACAAGTCCATCACACGCCAATCACAAGTCAATCTTAAGTCAATCACAAGTCCATCACAAGTCCATCACAAGTCCATCACAAGTCTAGTCACAAGTTCATCACAAGTCAATCACAAGTCCATCACAAGTTACAAACGTCCATCACAAGTCAATCACAAGTCCATCACACGTCAATCACAAGTCAATCACAAGTCAATCACAAGTCAGTCACGAGTCAATCACAAGTCCATCGCAAGTCAATCGCAAGTCCATCACAAGTCAATCACAAGTCAATCGCAAGTCAATCGCAAGTCAATCACAAGTCAATCACAAGTCAGTCACGAGTCAATCACAAGTCCATCGCAAGTCCATCGCAAGTCCATCACAAGTCAATCACAAGTCAATCACAAGTCAATCGCAAGTCAATCGCAAGTCAATCACAAGTCAATCACAAGTCAATCACGAGTCAATCACGAGCCAATCACAAGTCAATCACAAGTCAATCACAAGTTCAGTCACAAGTCTAGTCATAAATCCAGTCACAAGTCAGTCACAAGTCCATCACATGTCAATCATAAATCCAGTCATAAGTCCAGCACAAGTCCATCACAAGTCAATCACAAGTCCATCACAAGTCAATCACAAGCCAATCACAAGTCCATCACAAGTCTGGTCACAAGGAACAGGTGGAGGACAATAACAAAGAAATGTGTTTTGTTTCCACTGCTAATTTGAATAGTTCATAAGTTGACTTGGGCCAGGATAACTTGATCGACTTATGGTGATGTTGTTTGGGTCTTGTGATGGACTTGTCTACAATACTGGTGTCTATCCGGTTCGTTAGTGTCACGTCATCTCAATTCAACCATGCCTGCTTCACACAGTGTAGCATAGCACGAATGGAACTGGAAGTTAACGCATCTTGAGCATTTATCCAATGGGCGCTAGTTATCAGTGGCGCGCGCGCGTGTATGACGTTTTTACTAACGAACCGGATACAATCTTACATTTCCCTTTTTATCTGGTTCTTACTTCACGTCACAAGTCCGCGTAAAAATAACCAATGACAAGCTGTTGATAACTTCTCATCAAAACTTCCAAGGATTTAACCTTCCTGCTGCCTCCCCATGAAAATAGTACTACAACAATGTTACTGAAATTCCCCATTTTCTCTTGCTCTGAAGGTTTGAGTTCTTCAACTTTGAAACAAATACCAAGACCATGCTCTGATGATAACGTAGCATCTGTGGAGAGAGGAACCTATGTTCAGGTACTTAAGAGTAATTCTTGAGTGTTTTCCAAGCCACAAAGGATAAGTTGCAGTTTACCGACCAACAAATCAAAGGCGTAAACTTCATCATTTCAGATTTGAAGCTAAGAATCTTATGTAATTTTAAATATAATGTAACGTACGTGACACTTTTTTTTTTAATCGCAGTCAGATTTTTCATTCATGGAATGTTTTCACTTGAACATTTCTGCGCTCATTTGTTCAGGCTGTTGATAGTGAAGGGCGCCCTCTATGTGTGTTCTGCGGTAAGGCGACAGCATCGAGCACTGAGGCAGAGACGCATCAGAGTGCAGCGTGGGATATGCGATACTGCTCGGAGAAATGTAAAGACGAACACAACGTGAGTGTGGTTTCCTGATCATTCACTTCAATGACAGAGGAGTATGTGTTAACAGAATCTGTGATGTGTCGGGGAGATGAAAATTCAAAAGTGGGTTTTGCCCTTCGCCAACAAACTTTCGTGAAGACTGTGCTTGAATTTATTCGGATGGGATTCGAACCCATGACCTCCTGCTTTCTAGTGCAGACGTCCTACCACTCGACTACCAAGCTTGCCGGGGTCGGCTGGCTGGTTCGAATCTGATGTATGATCAGAGTCAAATCTGGATCATGATTTTGTCATCTTGTGATTGCTGCTACATCAGATATATGTTTAGTAAATGATTGTCATTTAAGTTCATGGTTTTTTTTTATTCGTAAGCTTCGATGGAAGAACACCAAGTACATACGGCAGCAGTTATTGGAGGCAGAGCGTGGCGTCTGTCAGATATGTGGTTTAGAAGCCCAGCAGCTCTGCAATATTATCAGGTGAGTTAAAGGGAATGTACATGTACATCATTGGCTTTTGCTGTAATTTTCAGAAATGAAGTATTTGGGGGTTTAGTATAATAGATCCAAATATTGTTACACTGACATGTTTGAAGTACGGTGTTCTAGAATGCTGGAAAAACCAAGAAAAACACAAATGTTCAAGTAGTCTGGTTCCTTGACTCCACTAAAGATGAAATGGATCAAAAATGCCGGAAAATTGTAATGTAAGGGAACCAGTCTAGCTGGCCTGCACCCGTTCATGAACATGGAACCAAAAGCAAACAAAATTTGGACTGAAAAAAAAAAACCAAATGGTAAATTTGGAGCAGTAGTTGAGAAATAGTTCGGTTTTTCCAACGGTGGTCGGCCGACCACCGTTGGAAATGCATACAAAAGTACCATTCTTCTTGAAAATGACTTCACATTAGGTGCCATAATTTTACAGGATGCTTTAGACTGCCAGTTACCAACATCCTAGTAAAGTATTTTGTTACAACTTAGTAGTTTTATTTTTCGATGTGTGCCAATGTTGTATTTTCCCTTTAAGCAGTGTTTAGGCGTGGTATTATGTTGAGGTATGATGGACCACAAGTCCATCACAAGTCCAACACAAGTCATACATTCTCAAGTCAACTCACAATAGGCTTTATTCACAAGTCGGCGATATTAAATTGAAAGCAAAGTAAAGTCTTCATTTTTGGAACGTGCGAATAGAAATGAAAGCAATGACATAAAGTTAGTTACAAATTAATACCAGTCTGCTCTGAGGAATAATGTAAATTTTGTGATTAAACATGCCCTAATGTTTTAAGCCACATTAAAAAAAGATTGAAAGCGAGGCTTGGTACGCATAAATAGTCTGGCACCATCCCATTCAACAGTTTACGATGTACAAAATACATTCAGGGAACACGACCAAAAATGGCTACCTTGTGACTAAGGTCTACATGTCTCAGTGTTGCTATAAGACTATAAGACAAATCTGTGTACTTATAAATAACATTTATGCTTTTTTTTGTTTTATTTTTTTTCCGCAGAGATGCAGCTAAGAGCGAGAGGAAGGATTTGTTGGAGCGTAGTACGTTCTCCAAGATGTCAACCCAGCGGTTGAATGAGATTATTCGTAACCCCTCCTCTGGCCAGGTAAAGAGGTAGTGATTAAACTGGAATTTGTGGTCAAAAAAAAAAAAAAAAAAATCAATGAAAAATAATCTTCAGTCAAAAGCAGCCAGGCAAGGGCGATCAAGCTGAGGGCCCAGAATTTTGGGGCATCATTCATTGAGTGAGATATGCTCGTAATTTTGAGTGCAGAAGCTCCCAAGAGTTTGAGTCCTCTTGCTGATAGTGCCCCACCACCACGGCAGCTTACCCGCACCGATGCCATGGATCAGAGCGAGCTGCATTAGCAGAACAAAGTCCTGATCCAATCTTGGACCCACACTAGGGAAAGCAGAGGGCGTAGCACTTATAATATTATGTCAGTGAGAGGCAAAGTAATAAACCTTACATCAACATGCATAAAGTTCCTTCGAATGTTTTGATTTGTTCTTCTTCCAGTTTTGGCATGCGGACCACATTGTCGCTGTGCATGAAGGCGGCGGTCTGTGCTCGCTGGACAACTACCGCACACTGTGTGTCCTGTGTCACGATGAGGTCACGGCCGCACAGAATCGGAGACGAGTAAATCGCAATCGGGCTGTAGGCATTCCGGATATCCGCTCCTTTTTTAATTCTTAAAAAAATCTGAATAATCTTATACCCGTTTTTAATAACACAGATTTTTCCAGAGTCAAGATTGGTTCATACTTGACGCAAAGCAGATGCAAATTTGTGGACGCAAATTTGTGAATGCGAATTTGTGAATACGAATTTGTGAATGCAAATTTGTGAATGCGAATTTGTGAATGCGAATTTGTGGACGCAAATTTGTGAATGCGAATTTGTGAATACGAATTTGTGAATGCGAATTTGTGACATCAGGGCAAGTATTCGCTGTGCGAATTTGCAGAAGTTGAACACATATCCGGTTTATTTTGAACATTTTAACTCCGGCGAATTTCGCAGCGAACATGTCCTGATGCTATTTTCACTTTTCTCATTTGCATAAAGTATGTACCGGACTCCACATCATTTATAAACCATTAGGAGCTACTCAGATTGACCAAAACAGATTTTGGTTTCAGATAAGCACGTTTTTTGCTCCATTCCCCAAGTTATGTCTATTTTAATAAACAGATCACAAAATTCAGCTGTCCACCACTGATCATTTACCGGTTTACGAACTGATGACTACCAATGAAACATTTCCAACCTCCATCGATGAATGACAACTTGCAAAGAAAAATATACAAAAATCGGCATTAACACTTCCGAAAAAAAAATAGAGTTGACTTGTTCCTTATATTCAAAACACAAAATCTGAAAGTAAAAATAATGCTTCAGTCTTGATTTCAATCATTAAAATCTCATTTGTGTTTGAGTGCTTGTGTGTAATCTGTACTTCTAACTAAGCTCAATAGCTTCCAATGGCATTCCGTGGACAGCTATAAAAATGGGTTCGTTCAGTAAAACATGGTTAACTTCTGATAGCATGGATCAATTTCAGTAATTCTTTGTTTCAGATGAATGGAAGAATTTGCTCTATTAAGACACAGTTCATTTGTGTATCAAATTTAATTGCTTTTAAGGGGAAAAAAATAATCCGGGTCACTTCTTTTTGACTCGCCCCTGTAGAATGCCGGTATAAAAGGTGTATTAGAATAACAGCGATGGAGTCTAGGGAATGTTTCCGAGACAGTGCAGATGAAAAGTTGCCATAATACTTGCCCAAGCTTACCAACTCCATAACTCTTGCGTCATTGACATGTACGATATTCCCGCATAGCTGCCGAATATTGCCAAAAACATTTGTAATTATAACAGATTAATGTGAAAAAAATGCAAAAATCATTCATGAACGTTTTATGATGGTGTTTGGAATTCATACAAGAATGACCCCCAGTGTACTCGTCTTGTTTTGAATTCAAATTAATCCTGAAACACACAATCAGTAGTTTACCTACCTATAGCCATTTATTGCTGCTTCAAACTCCATGCATATTTATACACATTATTATTCATGTTATGTGTGCTTGTACCATGATATTGTATGCTGAAGTACACTCCTATTAAATTGAAAATCACCATATGGCTTGATTGCAAATTGCATTTTTTTTAAGGGCTCATACAATGTAATTTTTTTTAATGCAATCCTTGAAATGCACCTTGGTGTCCCATTTAACTTTATTTTCAATTTTCGTTTTGCCATTTTGAAGGTATTTTGGTGTCTTTTTTTTGGGGGGGGGTATGCTGATGCAAATTTTCATTTTCATGGTAAAACTGTGATGTCATTCCAATTTTAGAAACCTCCATGTTACAGTTATTTAAGCACAAAAAGTTGCTAGAATTTTGGATATTTTGCTGTCATAAATTTTCTTTTCTTCTGTGATTTGTTGTCAGTACATGTCAGTAAGCCAATGAGCAGGCCTTTCTCACAAATGTTTCAATTAGCAAATTTTGGGTACGTAGTTTGAATAGAAAACCCTTAAACTGAACAGTGTCTTCATGAAATGCCATCACAGCAACAGCGCCCTCAGCTGTCCGGGAATGCATGGAAATTGTTTTAAATGTTTAAAGGTAGAGTCCATCATTTGCAGCCATCCGAAAAGTAACTGGCGTAATTATTGTTGAAAAACTAACTTGGTTGAAAGATAGTAAGGAGACTAAACTCCCTGTGAAATTATTCTTTCTGGGAAGCTGTCATTTTGAAGTAATCAACGAAAGAAGGCATTTCCAACGGTGATTCTTAAGAAGCACCGTAGGAAAATTTAAATTAGTAGTTCGTTTTGTTATTCAGCGCAGCGCGCACAAGTATTCGAACGACGCACACGCGCGCGCGGTTGTTATAATTCGTCGGATCAGTGCGCGACGTCGCGTATAGTTGCAATTCAAAACAATTCAAAACATGATTCAGCAACTCTTGATTTGAAATTGAGATCTTAGAATGCTGTTTTTCTCGGAATGTACAGCTGAAGCTTAGCTGAAACTTCATCAGGTTAGTTGCTCAGTATCCTTCATTACATTTTGAACTCTTTTGTTGCTTCAAACGAACAAAATGCACAAATTACAAATGATGGACTCTACCTTTAAAGAAGTGCACTTTTCAATAAAATTAACCAAAAGGGGATGTCAAATAATTTTCATAAATTTAAGGAAGTTGCACAGAGTGTGTTCAGAAAAAAATTCATCGCAACCCTTCAAATGTTGGCAGCGATGTTCCTGTGATTTCACTTAGCGGACTCGCATTACTTCTGCCAAGTGCCTCATACTTGTTTGTTCATTCTGTACATCATTTGCATTGCCCTCATAACCACCTCAAACCCAACCCACATGAGCCCTCAGAACCATTTCTTAAGACAATTTTTACAAGTTTTAATTGTGAACCACAGTATTTTTCAAATAAAGAGTTTGATAAAACAACATGTTCGTTTCAGCTTTTTTTGGTTGCATTGTTGTTGGAGAACTTGTACTTCAGTTTCTCTATAAATTTCTTGTTTATTGGTATAGTCCTTCATTTGTAATTTGTGCATTTTGTTCATTTGAAGCAACAAAAGTGCTCAAGATCTAAAGAAGGGTGCTGAACAAGTAACCTGATGAAGTTTCAGCTCAGCATTAGCTGTATATTTCGAGAAAAACAACATTCTAGGATCTCGATTCAAATCAAAAGTTGCTGAATCATGTTTTGAATTGGGCCTGAATTCAGCGTCCGAGACACGTTCTCACTGATGTCACGCACTGATCCGATGAATTATAGCAACTGCACGCGCATGTGCGTCCTGCCAATGCATTGAGCGCGCTTCGCCGAATAACAAAACAAACTACTAATTTGAATTTCCTACGGTGCTTCTTATAGTCCAGCGGATATGTGACAAAATATCGATGAATTGTGCACTTTTGCATAAAAGCGTGAAACTTGGCACAGATGTTTATATTCATGCGAGAAAATAATTTAGATGTGGAGCCATCGCAAATTTACCCTTTTAGGGGCGTGGCATCCATTTAAAAAGGGAGGGGGGCTGGACTTGTTGTGCCCGCAGTGAAAATGGTTTTTCCCACTTGTAACAAAAGCAGGAAACTTCACAAAGACATAATTATATAGATTATTAGGGTTTTCCAGATTCGGAGCCACCACAAAGTACCTTTTTGGGGGCGTGGCAGCCATTAAAAGAAAAGGGGGGTTTAATTATTATGCCCACTTTGGAAAACATTGTGCCCATATTTCATGAACGAATAAAACGTCACACAGACGTTTATATTCATGAGAAAAAAAATTCCAGATGTGGAGCCATATCGAACACACTTTTAGGGGCGTGGCAATCATATAAGAAAAAAGGGGGCAGGGGTTTTCATTATGCCCACCCTGGAAATATTGTTCCCACATTCATAGAGAAATGGGACCTTCCACAAACATTAACATTCATGAGAAAAAAAAAATCCAGATGTGGAGCCATATCGAACACACCCTTTTAGGGGCGTGGCAACCATATAAGAAAAAAAAGGGGGGCGGGGTTTTCATTATGCCCACCCTGGAAATATTGTTCCCACATTCATAGAGAAATGGAACTTTCCACAGACATTGACATTCATGAGAAAACAATTCCAGATGTGGAGCCATCGCGAACACACCCTTTAGGGACGTGGCAGCCATATTGAAAAAAAGAGGGGGCGGGGTTCTCCTTATGCCCAACATGGGATAAATGTGCCCACATCTCATAAACGAATGAAGCTAATTCCCACAGACATTAATATTCACGAGGAAAAAAGTCACACGTGAAGCCATCGTAAACACACTTTAAGGGGCGTGGCAGCCATATTAAAAGGGGGGGGGTAGTCATGATGCCCCTATAAAAGAAAGTCATGCCTACCTTTCATTAATGTCGATTGGCCCATAACCTATATTATTTGGTAATACAATGACTTACACCGAAGAGCATGGGTAAGTACCGGTAGGCTAACTCGTATAGGGTTCAATGTGTGTACTTGCACCTATATTATCATGCACATCTAAATTCCAGAGTGTTTTCATAATTACAAATACACAGCACACAATGGCAGCCCTAAACTCTAACATTTAATATTTAAGGGCCATGGAAATCCTTTTTTTTGGGGGGGGGTGTAAAATCCCCCTACCCCCTACCCGTTGCGCCGCATTGACAGCAGATTGGGTAACAACACGATGTACTCGCCTCACAAAGTGGTGATCACGTCCACTATGACTTCACATTCAATGAATCTGTGTACCCCCACCACACAACATCTCTTCTCTTAAAAATGGTATATCAAGCTCTGATGAGTGTTTTTTTTTCCCCGACCAAATCCATTAACAATTTTTATACTTTATACAGGCGCGAGACTGCATACGCCTTTTGGCCTAATTGTCAGAAAAAAGGCAGGGGAAACAATGTATTTGAAGAAGTAACACTAGTCTTTCCAGGACTAACTGAGGTACCCCAGTTTATACCCCATTTCAGATATTGCTGCAGTTGAAAGGTTAACAATAATTCTACAGACGACAGAACCAGTAACTGGGTTAATATGGATGAGGCAAGAATGCACAGTATAAAAAAAGGTTTGCCAACAGTAACTTCAAACTATAAAGGCGGCCCTACTCCAACACATTAAACAGCTATCTGAGGTGGATTTTATTATATGAAACGCGGTCAAAATTTTCCACGTTGTGCATATTGAGTACCCCCCCCCCCCATTTTAAAAATGGATGCCGCGCCTCTAAAAGGGTTTTTATGAATATATTGTCCGAGTGGAATTTAATCCATTAATGAAAGGTAGGCATGACTTTCTTTTATAGGGGCATCATAACTACCCCCCCCCCAATTTAATATGGCTGCCACGCCCCTAAAAGGGTGTGTTTACGATGGCTTCACGTGTGGCTTTTTTTTTTCTCGTGAATGTCAATGTCTGTGGGAATTAGCTTCATTCGTTTATGAGATGTGGGCACATTTTTCCCATGTTGGGCATAATGAGAACCCCGCCCCCTTTTTTCAATATGGTTGCCACGCCCCCAAAAAAGGGTGTGTTTGAGACGGCTCCACATCTGGAATTGTTTTTATCATGAATGTCAATGTCTGTGAAAAGTTCCATTTCTCTATTAATGTGGGAACAATATTTCCAGGGTGGACATAATGAAAACCCCGCCCCCCCCCCCTTTTTCTGATATGGTTGCCACGCCCCTAAAAGGGTGTGTTCGAGATGGCTCCACATCTGGAATTGTTTTTCTCATGAATGTCAATGTCTGTGGAAAGTTCCATTTCTCTATGAATCTGGGAACAATATTTCCAGGGTGGGCCTAATGAAAACCCCGCCCCCTTTTTTTCTTATATGGTTGCCACGCCCCTAAAATGGTGTGTTCGATATGGCTCCACATCTGGAAAATTTTTTCTCATGGATATAAACGTCCGTGTGACGTTTTATTCGTTCATGAAATATGGGCACAATGTTTTCCAAAGTGGGCATAATAATTAAACCCCCCTTTTCTTTTAATGGCTGCCACGCCCCCAAAAAGGTATTTTTGTGGTGGCTCCGAATCTGGAAAACACTAATAATCTATATAATTATGTCTTTGTGAAGTTTCCTGCTTTTGTAACAAGTGGGAAAAACCATTTTCACTGCGGGCACTAAAAGGGTAAATTTGCGATGGCTCCACATCTAAAACATTTTCTCGCATGAATATAAACATCTGTGCCAAGTTTCACGCTTTTATGCAAAAGTGCACAATTTTTGCACATATCCGCTGGACTATTAAGAAGCACCTTTGGAAAGGCCTCCTTTTGTTGATTTCTTCAAAATGAAAGCTTGCAAGAAAGAATAATTTCGCAGGGAGTTTAGTCCGCCTACTATCTTTCAACCAAGTATATTTTTCAACAATAATTACGCCAGTAACTTTTTGGATAGCTGCAAATGGTGGACTCTTGCTTTAAAAATATATATATTTCACGTTCCTGTTTTCAGCCTCATTTAAAAGCTTTGTTGTATTTTTTAGGGGTTGTAAATGTGACAAACGTGTAATTTTTGCCGACATCAAGTGCGACATATTGGGCATAAATTTGCCGTTATCAACTGATGAAAAGGTTG